GAGCAAGGCTTTGGGCATGTATTTTTTATGAGAGTATAACATTATAACATGATATAAAACTCAAAAAAGTTTATTTTTCATGATATTGCCCCTTTAAACACATATCAGCACTGCAGTTATGTATATAACGATGTGGGTTTACACATTATTGCACACTATACAACCGGGTTGGAAGGACAGCCGTGGACACTCGTAGACTCCGCCATTGGCATAGTTTTATTTATAAGGCCATACTAGGACTTCTTCCATCATATTTGTTGGCCTACATAAATAGAAAGTCCACTGGAAGATACTCTCTTCGTTGCGAGAATTTATTGTTGCTAAAGTCCGAACTGAACTTGGGACAGAAATCTTTTCAGTTTTCTGCTCAAGCTTCGTGGAATCAGTTGTAGAGATACTTGAACCTAAAGGGGCTGTTGTGACCTAATGTTTTTAAGGCTGTTCTTATTGATTTTGGTAAAGAATCATCTGTTTGTAAAAGTTTAATTGAGGAATATTTTATTTAATCTATTTATGATGGTGCTAATTGTTTCTTTTTTGTTGTGAATGTTTTGTAACCTCTGTGTACCACTGTCAGTCTTGGCCAGGAATCCCTTGCAAAAGAGATTCTTAATCTCAATGGGATTTTCCTGGTGAAACAAAGGTTTTTAAAAAAATTACAAAATGGATGTTATTGTAAAAACTATTTACAAAACAAAATCACAACACTACAGTAACTCCAGCAGAGTGTAATTGCAGCATACATGACGCGTGACGTATTTTAGTTGAGATCTTGGTGATGGAAACCCTGACTTCAGAGAGTTCCTCTCAGCTACCCTCATTGGTTCAAAACACGAGCTGCTGTACGTGCGAGACATTTCCAAACTGTACCTTTTAAAAAAATGAACTTTACCCAGTTTTATGTGTGCAGTGTTGCTATAACCTAAATTTAAAATGTACAAATTTTTATTTTGTTTAATAATACAGACAGGATGTATGGCAATCTGGATGTGCTTCCCATTGTCTTTTTCTTATACTGGCCTAATTGAACTGAAACCAACTATATTTAGGCTTAGCTAATGCTTGGGTTTGGAGAGGAGCAGTAGTGCCAATACCTAACATTATAAAGTTTGATAATTTATTTGTGGCAGCTTTAAGATTTAGAATATAAATTTATTATAAAAAAAATTTGGAAAAAAAAACATAAATAACTAACACAATAACAATAGCCTAAGTAAAGTTCAGTAGCACAAGTATACCAGTCATTTCAATGCATTCAGTGTTTCATATGCCTTGCTTATGGATCTGGGTAGAGGAGCATGAAGTTGCTAATCACAATCTCCACTGGTACACTAGCTCTAAATAAACAAACTATGCTTAGCCTGGTGGGAGAGCAAGTAARGACTGGYGGGCCACAAAATCTGTAATACAYWGGAGGAAACCCTGCTTATGATTTAGTGGTTTAGTCCATGGTTAACACGTTAATTTAATTTGCCTCCTACATCGCAGGACCTGCAGTGTCACTATTATGCACAAGTACATTGCAATGACAATCCTCAAACGGTACATCTTACAGCTCTACCTAAATGGTTTTGCAGCAATTACATTATAATAACAAACACACAACACTCCCACGATCTTAAACAAATACAGTCAGGTCTGTAAATAGTGGAACACCGACACAATTCTCCTTTTTTTTGGTTGTAAGTACAACTAAAGTGGATTTAAAATTAAACAAACAAGATGTGCTTAAACTGGAGACTTTCAGCTTTAGTTTGAAGGTATTTACATCCAAATCAGGTGACCGACACAAATTACAACAGTTTGTGCCTCCACTTTTTTGTCAGCAGTCACATCATCAATGAATACAAGGGAACCAGTTCCAGTGGCAGGCATGCATGGCCACCATGACACTACCAGCACCATGCTTCACTGATAAGTTGGTGTGTTCTGGGTCAGAAACATTTTCTCTTCCCATCAWTGGAATCAAGTTGATTTTTGTCTCATCTGTCCAGAGGATGTTGTTCCAGACGTGTACAGGCCTTTTAGATGTTGTTTTGTGACTTTAATCTACTGTTTCTGAGACTTACCAATGGCTAACATCTTGTGAACCCTCTTTATTGAASTGAAGTCTTCTCTTGGTTGTTAACTTGTGTGTGATGCTGACAGAAGCAGAAGGATGAAATCCAAGTGTTTTAGTGCAATATTATCTGCTCATATTCAGCTGAATGCTTCAGAACTCATTGCACAGATCTACAGTGCAGTTGGACAATATTTTTCAGCATACTGCAAAAGCAAACAAGTTTTGTATGGTCAACTCAATCGCCTGCTCTGAAACTGATTTACTTGTTGAAAAACTGAAGGGAAAATGTCCTAAGAACAAGAACAGGCCTGGCAGAGCATSATCAAAGCTGAAACCCTGCATCTGTGTTTTAGTACCTTTAATAAGTGGGAGGCGCATCTAAAAACGGTTGTAATTCGTAGACCGTTCACCTGATTTGCATGCAAATACATTCAAAATAAAGCTGGAGTTAAGGCACATTGTGTTTGTTTCATTGCAAATCCATCATGGTGCTGTTTACAGCCAAACAGATGAAATGTGTCAATATCCCTATATTAATGGACCTGACAGTAAATCAAGTAATAASACAAAAATAAGACTTGGACATTTKATGTGAAGCATTTATAAGTATTGTGTTGAAATACATGGTTACACTGCTTTGACTGACATCCATATATGCACTCTGAAAACGAAATGTTGGATTTACTTAACCATGTTATGTGACCTGGTTCCACTTAACTGAATTGAGTAAATTCAAAGCAACATACTCATGTTCTTTGGCTAAAAAACTGGTATATTGCTTTGAATTTACTCAACTCAGTTGAGTGGAACCAGGTCACATAACATGGTTAAGTAAATCCAACATTTCATTTTTTTACAGTGTATGAACACAATTTATATCCACCGTACTGGAAGACAAGTAAAGCGCATTTAAGTGCCTGTGACATCATTTATTTTTGTTTGTAATAAATAATGCTTTTTGGAAAGGTAACACTGACAACATATTGTAAAGAAATATTTCATGCTGCTCAGATGAACAGTTAGTGAGATATTCACATGTGGTCACAGGAAGTGATGTCAAAGGGGAATGTCTGAATGTGTACAGAGCGTTGCTACAAAGGCCGACAACACAGGCTGTAGAAAAGAATCTGTTTCTTTATAGATTATTTTAATTACTATAATAAAGAGATGAGTAAGAGTCAGAGTTCAAATAATATTGTTTTATTAAACAAAAACCAGAGTTTTATTTCTTGAAGAGTTCCCCTTTGRTGTCACTTCCTGTTTCATTCTGACCAAAATTCAAAAGAAAATATGCCAATTATGGGACATAATGGGTAAAATCATGTGTATTATACCAAGTTTCTTAAATATAAAAATGTTTTCTTTAACTTTTTGTATTTCATGGATATGCATGTCACAGGCACTTTAACATACTGAAGACTTCCACTGACACCAACTTTAATCAGCAATATTTATTTCCTGAGTTTAATGAYTCGAACACTTGAAAACAGTGATGCAACACAAAAGTTAAATTGACAACTGATCTAAATAAACCTGTCAATCCTTTCCTAAAATAATCAATTTAAGTAACCGATTAACTKAGATTGTTCAGGTGTGAAGTATTTAAAGCATAATCATTATTTGYAATGTTATTATTTGTAAGCTATATTCATCAAAATGACAAGAAATAAAGGCTTGAAATGTTTCGATGTGTAATTAATCTATCTATCTGAACTGAGTGACAAAGAAAACCGAACTTTTTCACAATATTCTTTTTGAGCTGCACCATCATTTGTCTTAAACTTGGATTGTGTGTGTGTGTGCGTGTGCGTGTGCGTGTGTGTGTGCGTGTGTGTGTGTGTTCACTGGGATCATTTAAAGCAGAATCTAAATGGAAGGCAAAAACCCGGAGCACTCGCTTTTAATCATTTGTTATTCCATCCTCTTGACGCCTGAGTAAGAGGCAAGATTGTGCAAGTTCACTTGGCAGGCAGGCAGTCGGCAGGCCGACATCTGGAGAGCATTACGTCTGCAGGAGACGTGAAGCCGGGGTCGATGCACGGCTCCTGCCCCCTGGATATCAAACCAGCGTCATGAATGAAGCGTTTTAAGCAGGTCACTTGTAGAGTGGATATGACACGTAATTACAAAAAGGAAAACGGGATCCTAACTGGGCAGCAAGAGCAGAAACATGGCGTGACAGCAAGGCCTACGCTGCACATAAGTGAAACAGTATTTAAATACAACTTGAGGGGGRAAAAATGCGTGTATTGACGTGGATTAGCAGAGGAATGCAGAACAGGAGGCACACTTTCGTGCACTCCTGCTTGCGTAACGCGGATCCAAATCCAAAAGAGATGAGCGCCGAAAGATGGACAACGAGGTGACGTTTATTATAATGATTTTATTTTAAGACTAGCATTAAAGTTTGTGCGGCTTGGAGAAAACCGTAACAGGCTGTAGCCACGCACATTGAGACGGAGGGTCTCACGGCTGAACCCCCCTTTATTACTGTCGACGTGCAGCGTGTATCCTACCTGTAATCGCTCCGACGCAGGTTGCCACATATTTAACACGGTCGCTGGTTCTCCCTCTTTGCTGCTGCCGGTTGGTTCTCTCGTCGTAGTCCGGTTCACATCTGTCGCTCTGCACGGCTTTCCTGACTGAGCCAGTTCCCTGAGTTCTGTTCGGTACTGAAGGGTGATGCTCCGCCTGGATGTAGTTAACACTCTCTCCAGCAGGTGGAGGTACCCGTTCCCCTGCCTGAGTCATGTAGGCGACGTGGTGCTTTCAGGTGCTGCAGGAATTTCTGCAACAAACACTCGGAGGTCTGACATCACTCTTTTTTGTCAACACCGTTGATGTCGCGTCTATTTTTTTATTCCAAATTAGTCACTTTATATTCACAGGAGCAATTTTGGCCTTACATAGCAGAAAGCACACAATACTGTCCGTATAAATCAAGGTTCTGTTGCTTTAAAATCATAAAAAGTATATGTAGCACAAAACTGAAGGCAATTTGTGTTTGGTAGATTGTTTCTTTGTTGTAACAATGCTTCTTGGAAAGAAAAAAATTGTATAGGTCCTCTGGACGGGTTCTTCTCTAATGAAATGTTTCGTCTCTCCTCCAAGAGACTTCTTCAGTCTGAGAGTTTCAGGCAAAATTCAGGCTTTTGAGCACTGCCTCCATGTGACTGATACTCACATCACATGGCTATCGTT